CAAGTGTTTCTGGCCGAAACTCGGGATGAATTTGCCTGCGAGTTTCATCGTGAGTACAGGGCCTATGGCAAGGAGTGCACGTACAATGTTGACGAGACAGGCATCTATTATGACATGCCTCCAAACTACATTTGGGCCAAACGCGGTGGAAGCTCCAAGATTTCAGCCGGCGAAAAGCATTCCATGCGCATGACGGCTGTGCTCACTGCTCGCGCCGATGATGAAAAGCTTCCTATCATGTTCATCATGAAAGGTAAACCTGGTGGGCGCATCGAAACTCACGAGGTACCGTCGTTCTCCGCTGGCCATGCCTACGCTGTTCAAGAGAGGGCTTGGAGAGGGCTTGGATGGACACTACGGTGTGGAAGTCTTACCTCAGCAACGTCCTTCACGACCACATTGAGGAAGCTTCGGTCGTTATCCTGGACAACTTTGAGTCACATGTGTCGGATGAATCGTACAAGATCGTCCAAGTAGTGCTTGGTTCTCACCTCTGTCCACTCCCGCCGAATGCCACGTCCTAATGCCAGCCGCTCGACGTTGGTGTCATGGCGCCTTTCAAGCGCAACACGCGGGAGCATTGGCTCTGAGAAAATGATTGAGGGCGACGACGACGATTCTCACCTCAAAGCAGAAGCGAATGGCGCTGATCAAGCGAGCGATTGCGGCTTGGGATATGGTGCCTTCTGAAGTCATCAGGGCAAGGTCATTCCTCGCCAGCAATCGAGTCAAATATAATGACCAATTTAATCCATTTCATTTTACTTCCACTTTGTATACTCTATTTACTTTTGATTAAAATATTTCAAAAAAAAGTTTGACACTGCCCGGGACTTGAACCCTGGCCCCTTCCTCTATTTCTGTAATGCCGTCGCGCTAAACCACTGCGCCACCGCGTCAATAAGCTTACGCTAATTCTAGATCTCATCTATCAATCACTTCTATTTGAAATCAACTGATTGATCAACTGTGTCAATGAATGACCCACTACAATCCATGCTACCAAGTTTGCTTCTGATGGCACAGGAGCTTGCACAATATTATTACCTTGTAAATTTTTAAAGTGCTATATGTTCGAGGAATAAAAATACAGATACCTTGCAATCATTGGTTGCACCGAATTCGTACTTCGTAGTCGGCTAGCCAATCAAACGCAAAACAATCTTGAAGTCGAAGAAAATGTAGGCCTTGCATTCCGTCGTTCCCTGTACAGCTCGACGTGTGATCATAGCACCGCGCCATTCCTCTCAGACAGGGTGGAGCGCGCGCATCGCTTACCAAGACGACACCAGAGATGCCTTTGTCAGTGCATGTTGTCCGGTGAAAGCCATGGTGAGAAGACTTCAAGTTTCTCGGACGTCTGAGAACTGTGATTTTCCCCGAATCTTGGGCTCTTACTGGCTCACTCCACTACGTTTATCGAGATGAATTCGGATGTAGCCGAGTGGAATACATCTAGTTAGAGGACCCGCTCGAGACCTATAGCCAGCTACGACTGTGAACCTAACTTCATCGATCACTTTGGAATTTGCCATCTTACTGTCTATCCTATCTGGAGCGACAACAAAGAATTCTTTCGTGAA